ACTTTAGATCTCGTGCTTTTTAGCCAGAAGACCAAAAGTGACGATCTGTTGCTTCCCCTGAGATGGCTACAAAAGAGGAGGGGGCGGGAAAAGCGGGGGGGGGGGGACAGGAGGGAGGGAGGGAGGGAGGGAGAGAAGGAGAGAGGGCCCATACTCGCAGCTTGTCAATTTCAACATTTGGTCACGTGACCAGCGCCTCCCTGCTAAGGATGGGGATAGATTTCCACGTCAGCTTTACGTCTCCAAATTTCTTACTTCACGGATCTGCTTCAAAGAGGCAGCTGCATTAGAGAATCATGTTAAGCTCGGCTAATGCGGAGAGCCCGAGGTAGCCTAATGATGGATTTTGATGAGCGTGTCCCTTGCTCGTCTAATATGTATTTGCCAAGTTGCACGTACTACGTGTCGGGTCCTGATTTCTCCAGCCTCCCTTCTTTCCTGCCCCAGACCCCGTCTTCTCGCCCCATGACATACTCCTACTCCTCCAACCTACCCCAGGTCCAACCCGTGCGGGAAGTCACCTTCCGCGAGTATGCCATTGATCCGGCTAGTAAATGGCACCACAGGAACAACCTCCCGCATTGCTACTCGGCCGAGGAGATCATGCACAGAGACTGCCTGCCCGCCGCCGCCGCCAACACGGCCGCCAGCATGAGCGAGATGTTCGGGAAAAACACCGCCGCCGTCTATCACGGCCACCACCCGGCTACGACAGCCGCCGCCGCCGCCGCCGCCAGCGTCTCCTCCAATTTCTATAGCACCGTGGGCAGGAACGGGGTGCTCCCGCAGGCTTTCGACCAGTTCTTCGAGACGGCTTATGGCACGGCCGACAGCCACTCGGACTATGCAGGCGAGAAGAACGGGGAGAAGATGCCCCCGGGAGGGGGAGCCGCTCCCGGGCCGGCCGCCGCCGCTGCCGTCGGCGCAACGTCAAGTTCGGACGGGAGCTGCGCCAGGGACGCGGCATCCGCGGCGGCGGCGGCTGCAGCGAGCGCCGCGGCCTCGGCTGCGGAGGAGAAGGAGCGGCGGCGGCGGACGGAGAGCAGCAGCAGCCCGGCTTCGTCTTCCGGCAACAATGAGGAGAAATCCAGCAGCTCCAGTACGTATAAAAGGCAGCGCCCTGGCGCTTTTATGAAGCGGACTTGGAAATCTTAGCGCACCGCCGCTGTTAAATTTTTATATGCTGTTTTATAAGCATATAAGGTTTATGGAAGGGCCTGTAGATTTCCCCCAACAAAACTTTGTTATAAAAGGAGAGATCACGTGGCGGGGACTGAAATTGGCCGTGAAATACCCACCGGCCAATGGATGCCTTTTTAAAACAAAAAAAGGAAAAAAAGGAAAAGTCCCCCCCCCTTAAATCATAAAAAAAGAATAAAGAGAGAGAGAGAGGATGTTGGGGAGAGAAAGGCTCTGTGGTCAAACTCTTGAAAATATAATAACGCACGTTTTGCGCCTGTAAATGTACCCAAAAGGGGATTTCTGAGTCCTTTGATATCCATGTAATCCTGTGATTATTTTTCTTCTCTCTTTTTTTGGATTTTTTTTTTTATAAAAGCCATATGTTGCCCCAGAAGCCTAGTTAGAAACTTGGATTCAAAGCCATCCCAGTTTTTTAACGATTGCCCGGGAATACCGTTTAGCAGAAAAACTAGCTGCCTGTATTGTAGCAATATAGTTAAAGCAACAGATTAACCTAAAGCTGGCCTTTTTTTGTCTAAAGGAAGCCATTTTCCTAAGACAATGTGGCAAGTATGTGTTGCCTTCTGCCCAACAGTTTGCTACTTACAATTGCTATCCAACCTGTCACTGCCTGGTTTTATTTTTTTAATGTAGATTTTTCTTGCTTCTCACCCCCTCACCTTCAAAAGCCTAGGAAAATAGCCTTGTAATGAGCTGTAACAGCAAATGGGGACGTGTTGTGTGTATGTGTGTTTGCAAGGAAATATAGCACCAATATTTAATGTAAAAAGCCTTTAAGCATTAAAGGAGGGGGGCTATGAACATTAACCCCAGTGTGGCTATGAAGGAGCGAAAGGACTTGAGAGAATATAGCAGAGGGGTTAATTTTAAAACACCCCCCCCCCAGATGCGAGTGATAAGGTGTAATGAACTAGTGGTTGTCCAAGGCGCTGGGGTACTGTTTTGTTATTTTTAAACAAAAGGGAGCTGCACACAAAAGCAAAACCAAGTTTAAGATTAAAAAAAAAACCTCGGTCAAAGTACAGGAGCCCATTTGGCTTCTCAGATCCTGGTGTCATAATGTCCTTCAGGGGTGAAACAAGCGATGAAGCTCCCTATGCCCTCTCTTAAAACTGAGTTGCAAAACTGGGTTGCAAGAACAGTGTCACAGCTGGGTTAGGTTACAGAGAGTCTGCCATCAACCTTCTTAACCTTCCCGCGCCAAGCATTGTATTATTCGGAGACTGCTTGTGCGATGTCCATCTAGATCTTGTGCACTGCAGATTCTGCTGACTAGGGAGTCAGTAGTTTGGACACTGTGGGTTTTAATTTCATAGCATAGCGCCTCAGGTGTACTGCCTGAAGTGATGCTTCGAAGTGAAGATGTTGGAATTTTGGAATATTACATGCAAATATGTTCCTCAAATACATGCAAATATGTTCCTCAAATAAAGGTCAGGCTAATACAGCTGCAGAACGGAACAGAGCGTCAACTTTATGTAGCTAATAAACAGGCCTTTTCTCAATGGTTCAACCCAAGAATGTCCCTTTATTAAATATGAATTGCAGTCGTCCCCCAGCCCTATCTGATCCCAGACTTAATGGCTTCTGCCTTTTATTTTTGTCATTCCACAGGTGGACAACGCACCCGTAAAAAGAGATGCCCCTACACCAAATATCAGATTAGAGAATTAGAGAGGGAATTCTTCTTCAGTGTCTATATAAACAAAGAGAAACGCCTCCAGCTCTCCCGAATGCTCAACTTGACCGACCGTCAAGTAAAAATATGGTTTCAAAACAGAAGAATGAAAGAGAAAAAAATTAACAGGGACCGATTACAATATTACTCAGCTAATCCACTACTTTAAAAAACTCGTAGCGTTTTTCAAGATGAGATTAAATTCAGATCTCGCCCATGACAAGGTCAAGCCACAGGGTTACCTATGAGAAGGAGGTGTGCAAAGTGACGGAGGACGCTGGGAAAAAACACCACACTAATATTTTTTTTCGTCCCCGTAAAAATGTAAACCAACTGGGGTTTCCCGCTACTTTTCCCTCCCCCCTAAAAAAAGTTCTTCTTAAAGCTCTTGACATATCAACTGGAAACGGTTTACACCCTGGACCCGCATTTCCAAACATGCCATCCCCATATTTTGCTCTGAGGGCAATTTTATACCTCTTACCTATAGACACTGCAACTCATCCCAACGCGGGTTCACACGTGAAAAAGCGGGGAGTGAGTTATTGGATTCGTGTCGGTCTAAAACTATGTTACTTTGGTTTTACTGTGGAACATTGCTTGAAAGGCTACCCATGGCTGCACCGGAGCCTGATGGACTACTGCAAAAGAAAACCTACAGGAGCCCCCGCAACCTCTAAATGCACAGCCGCCGTCCCATCACCTTCCCCTCCTCGACCCTTAAAATGACAAACCTTCTTCCGCAAGAGCGGTTACCCTCTTGACCAAGTTCAAAAAATTTAAGCAGTTGCAAGGCCAATCATAAATGTTTGTAGAGGTGTAGTAGTGTTGAGTCTAACCGTGCTGTTGATAGGGAGTTATGGCGTGGAAGGTTTGACAGTCTCCTTTTGAAACCATTTCAGGTATTAATTCGCCATATATGGTAAGGAAACAATCACTGAGGAGTCAAACACATAGCCACGTGCATTAGCTCTCGTTTAAAAAACCCCAACAAAAATGAACAACAACTGTCGAAAAGTGGCCATCCCTTTGGAGACAAATCATTATGTTCTTATTTAAATGCTTAAAGAAAACTAAAAACCAACCAAATAAATAAAAGTGCACGGTGGGGTGGAAAGAGAGGGGGAAAGAAAGACTAATCTAATAGCTCCAAAGGGGGAAACCGTAAAAGGAAGCTTCTGGCTTCTGTCTCACAAACTTTCTTCAGGAAATACCTGTGGAGAAGGACAGTTTGGCAAATACCACACAACACTTAATTGGACCCTGGATGTGTGCAATGCACTGAGATCAGATCATTAAAATAACTAGCGTTTTCTTTCCCTTAGAAGCCCAAGCAGAAGGCAAACAATGTAAATATGGTGGATTGGTTTTCAGATCTTTTTGTTCACTATTAAGTGTCGAAAGCCCTACTTAATCGCTCAGGCGGCAGAATCAAAGAACGGAGAGTTCCCTGGAGTTATTTTAAATATATATAAAAGAAGTATATTTCCCTGCAGGAACCAAAGCGAGAGTGAGAAATAGAGAGAGAGAGAGAACAACGAATTTTAAAAGAAAGAACTATTTAAAAGTCTATATCAGTTTACAAAGGATATTGTGTTTTATTGTAAAAGTCGCTTGCTGTCCAGAATATCTGAATGTATATTTCATACGAGAATGGTGTTTTACAAGACTTGTACATTTTTAAATGATCCGTTTTGGTTGGTATATGTTTTTTTAACGGTCCTTTTCCTTGGAAAATGTCGAGTTTGTCCTTTTTTTAAACAAAAAAATTCTGTGCAAGAAAGATAAGGTGACTAGAATGTTGTAAAAACCACCAGCTTCGAAAAGGGACACGATTTCTTTTACACGGTTCACAAAACGCAATACCTTTATATTCCAACACTGTTTGAAGATATGTATCGTCATATATGTAAATACGGTTTCTTTTACTATGCGAAGGTCTTTCGTGGCATGTATACAGTGGTACGGCGCACAACGAAAATAAACATGTGGGAAATTTATAATAATAATAATAATTTTTTTAATCCTTGTGTTGTATTCATGGATATTCCTTGATCTGGGCTCTGAGAGTTTGAATCATGGCTCCTGAATGGGATGCTTTCATGGAAATTCCATTCACCTATTGCTTCTGGTCCTTCAGGATAAGGCAGTGCAACATGTCTGGTATTTATGAATGCGTAGGCAGACTGCAGCGAGCTTGAGGCCAGGTTTCACCGGTTTGTAGAAGTGGGAGGGGGTGGAGGATCACTCCTTCAAGTAACTGCAGATTACAGGCTTTATACATTTGCTCACAGGTGTAAAACTTATTAGCAAACTGGTGATTTTTTCTGGGCTCTTCCGCTCTTGTTTATCTCGGGCGCCATGTTTCTGAACACACTCCTTTAAGTGCTAAGAAATGTTTGTGGCAGGATCTGATCCCCAAAACGCAATGATAGAAAGGCAGAATGAAGCATATTGGTAGAAACGTGTTGGTTCCTCTGTGGTGACTCCTAGGGAAAGAGGATGGCGAGGCATTCCTCGTGCGAGTGAGGCCCAGATGGGCTGTGTGTGGTTTTCGTTCTTAATCTCTCGAGCGGGGAGGAAAATTTAAAATTAAAAAAACAACCCACCGAAGACCTTTTTGAGGATGTGGCATGAGGTTGATTTTCCTCTCTTACACTTAATCAGGAGAGAAAGTACATACTGTTTTCTCCTATTGTTTATTGGCTTTGAACTTCTGTATTGCTTTGGACATCACCCATAACCTTGAGGTGAAGGGCTAACTGGCTCTGGGCTTTTGCTGACAACCCCCACCTAAGCCAGACAGCGTCTGGTCAAAGGAAATGTACAAAGATGAAGCGCAGGGGGAGAGAGGAGAGAGAGAATGGAGCTCACTTGCTTGTTTGTTTATTTGGCTAGCATGCTACAAAGGAATGCAACTCTTAAAAGGGAGAGATAGAAAGATAGATAGAGAGGAGAGAAAGAGAGGGAGAAGACAGGGAGAGGAATAGGCGGGTGGCAATAAATGTTCAGGCAGCAACTTCCTTTGCTAGTTAAAAATTAACTGGTTATTCATCTCTAGGTTGACTCATGGAGTTTCTCCAGTTTTGTGGAGAGGCTGCTGGTGATTTCCTGGCCCAGTTAAAAAAAGGTGGGGGGGACATCCCATATGTGTTGCCGGGACAATGCAGCTATAAAAGTGCCCTCGACTCCCCCCCCCACTTCTATTTGCATACTGGGAAAGCTGGGCTATAAACGAGACGGAGGTTTGTTTCAGCCATCTCTGAGGGTAGATCCGCGAAGGGCAATTGTCTGCGCTAGCATCCGTTCGTTTAACGCGGGGCATTTGGAAACCGGCTGGCAGGTCAGCTCTGCGGAGGAACGCTGTTGCCACAAGATGGCGTTCTTCAGATCAATGTCAAAGCCGCAGTGGGAGAAGAGGGGGAGAGGAAGGGGGGGGTTTTGAAATCTTGGCCTTTGTTCCCCTTGCGTTCTAGGAGCTGCACATTATATTATTTCACTTTCCACGCTCAGATTTGCAAAGGTAAGGTGAAGCCGATTGCTCACTCCTTCACGGAGAAGCACAAGCGTTGAGCCAGGAGGTTCTCTCTCACACACACTCTCAAGGCTGACTACTCCGGGCTTCCAGCGCTTCCAGAGGGTGAGTATTTCCTTTGAGGCTAAGTTTGGTTGATTAAAGAGGAAGCAAGCTCTTATCAAGGTGCAGCTGGAGTGACCTCTAGGTCTACTTGCTCTCGATTAAGTCCTTTCACGTTTATTTTAATTTCTTTTTGGAAGTGGAACTCCAGGGGTGTGGTGTCTTTTCGGAAAGCCAGTCATTAAAAGGTTGGCTGTGGAAAGTATTGTTTGAAGGCTTGCTAAGTTTAGAGAGCAACTCCTCGAAAGGAGTGGAGAAAAGGTTTTCAGGTTGAAGGTCTGCCAAGCAGTTCACGCGGTGGTGAAACAAGCGTAGGTAGGCCAAGACGGCGGCTTTCTTATAAAAGCTGCATCCCTGGGAATACAGGATTATGGATGTCCACGTTTGTCTGGAGGACGCTAGGTGTCTTCTGTCAACTAGATCTATAGCGGCGTAGACTGAAAATGGCAGCTATTGGACTTGAGCTGTGGTTTGCTCATTCCAGTTTGGCCGAGTTCGCCCGCCTATGGTTGGTTTACAGCGATATTTATTAAATGCCTTTTTCTTCCGAGGCAGCGTCACTCTCCTCCACTCTAAGCAGAAGAAGCTGGAAATCGATATAGCTGGATGTAGAGTAAAAGCTCCTTTCGCTTAACACCTCCACCTCGGAGCGATCTCATGTAAAGCCAATTCCTGAGTGGAGGCTGAATTTAAAATATCTCTGTTGATCCTGTCTCTATTGATCTGCAGTGTACTTGCTGTAGAAATATTCTGAGAGCGGAGCCATAATCTGGAAGGCCTAGCCCTTGTATACAATAACAGGAAATTTACTTGACACTTGGAGCTACGGTCATCAACATACTTGCTGCAGCGAATTTGCAGGGATCTCGTGTTATGATTATTCTGAGCGGGCCAATTACTTATATAGGATTGAGGGATATCTAGTTTTCTCTAGATTGCTGCCTATTATACAACAGCCAGAGGGGATATTCTTGAGCTTCCTTTTGCATAAAGCGCCTGGGATCAGATGCTAACGGTGAAGAGTTACCAGTGTAGCACCCAGGATAGATTAGGAGGAGCAGTCCTGATTTCTTAAGCAGTCGACGAGTTGACCTTGGGATAAATTACAGATTACAGAAGCTCGCGATGCGATTGCCCCCCCCCCCACTTTACCCCACTCAGATAGGCCCAACTTTATTCGAGCAGTCTGCCTGTGGCATTAACTTCTTCGGCTTGCATATTTTGGTCCGAGTCATGTGTTATGTTAGAAAGTCTCTTATCTTGGCCACGCACCGCCCTAGTGAACTATGATTTCTGAAGTCCAGTGTTAAAGCTTTACTCGGTTATTATGGTGGGGTGGAGGAGGCGAGGCGGGAAGACGGAGGGAACTTTCCTTCAGTGTTTATGGAAACAAAGGCAACCGATTCATAGGAGGGAAACGTTCCGCCCAGCAACTTTCTTGCATTTATTTAATCAATTTCTTAGGTCTCATTAGCAAATCATTTCACCAGTCGGCTCGTGCTTCTGTGGTAGTAGCATGGTGTCCTCTTTTCCGAGGGAACTTTCCTCCAGTGCTTATGGAAACAAAGGCAACCGATTAATAGGAGGGAAACGTTTAGTCCAACAACTTTCTTGCTTTTATTTAATCAATTTCTTAGGTCTCATTAGCAGATCACGTCACCAGTTACCTCGTGCTTCTGTAGTAGTAGCATGGTGTCCACATAAAATGATAAAAAATTAAGCATAGCAAACTCAAATGAGAGGTTTTCCCCTTCATTTTAACAACAAGAAGAAAGAAAAAGAAACCAGCAAAAATGAATAAATACGTGATTTCAGAAGCATACTTTTTTAGTTTTGGTTGCTTCTCTTTCTTTCATTTCATCCAAAAATATAAATAATAAACAGGTTTCCACAGTGGTTAGTCTCTAGATATCCTCTGGTGGTAAAATTAAGTTTGCTGTAGATCTAGGTCAGGAAGCAACCTCCCTTGCAGCTGATTCCTTATATTCACTCTTCCCCACCCGCTTCGATTTCTAATAAGCTGGGATAGTGTGCTTGGGGGAAGAGGGTGAAAATGACTCTACGTTTATAATATGCTGCGATTGCTTTTTCGCACACAAGCACGCCTAAGGGTCTTTAAAGAGGCGTCTTCCACTTCGACGTCTCCTTCGGATATCGTGTATTCCCCATCCCACCCCAAATCTGTGCAAAGGAAATGCCTCTGAGAACGAACCATGGCCGAGCTTCAATATAATTTCATATTATAATTTCACGTTGTAACTTAGAAATGCAAATAGATATCCCTCCGCGAACAGCTGCTGCCTCCTAGTTTGAAATAGCGCGCCAAACTCACGTTGAAAAGAAAAGAAGCATAGGTTCAGACATGCGCCTCGCTTTGACTTCAACATATTATTGCCTAGCCTAAATTATTCGAAGCGAGAAATCCAACTTTGCTGGAGTCAGATCAATGCACTCTCTCCAAATTTCGTTGCTACGTGCACAACATAATGGGCTACTAGAACCAGACGGGAGTCTACGACACAAAATGCTAGATACGTGTCTGCTAGCCTGGAGTTAAGCTTGCTAACCCAGAAGTGAGTCGCATTCAATTCAATAGGGCTTCAAGTCTCAGGTTAAGTGTGCGCAGGATTGTAGTATTTAATAACTTTCTTATGCTCCGGATCCTCTAGCTTAGGCCTTGGAATGGCCTTATTTTGAATGTGAGCCCCACTGATACCTGAAAAAACTTGTGCTCTGCTCCCATTCCTTAGGAGACGTTGATTTGGGAGAGATGCCCTTGACTTCAACTGAATTTACGTCCAAGTAAATACGCATTCATATACGTCTGTGGTCCCAGCCACTCTCGCGCGGAAGGATGTCCTATTGAAACCAGCAGGACTTCCTTCCCGACCGACGCGTTTAACACTGGGGTGCCAGGCTGCGATCCTGCGCTCGGTTGCCCGCACATAAATCCCATCCCTATCAGAGAGAAGAAGGAAGGTAGTCACCAGCAAACCGGTGAGCAGGATTTCAGCCAGACCAGAATCCCAGCTGCCAGGGAAAAAAATGGGCTTAAGGTGCAAACGAAGTCCAAATTTTAAAGGAAATAAATCTCCCAAACCCGATCGTCGCTCACTCTTTACCCTTCAGGCCCTCTCCCCCTTCCCCCTCCTTTTAACCTGAAAGAATTTCGAAGCGAAGATAAAAAATTACTTCGGTAGTCGTTTGACACCTTTTCTTGGCGCAGAGATGCAGTTCTTAAAACGCCTGATGGAAAGCCGCCTGTTTGGAAATTTTTCCAGGGGGAAAACTGCCTTGGCACACAGTCACATTCTTGACAACTGACACTTTTAATATTAAATAAGTGCGCACTGATTGTATTAATTTGGGTGGAGATTTACAAAATGCAATCTGCGGCTATATATTTAAAGGCAGGCAGCCTTCCGACTCCCATGATAGCTTTTACACTTTTTCCTTCCTCTCCGCGCCCGCCCCCCCCCCCGCCACCGCCAGCCCCTTTCCCGCAAAACCTCAATTTATCCATGTCAGAAATATAAAGCCCGTTTTAATTAGCATACAAAATAGCATCCCTTTCTTAACAATGTTGTACCTTTTTAGTTCCTCCTGGAAATAAGGAGTGGATAAATCATTCTCTTCAGCGAGTGGGATTTTAAAGGAAGAGAGACAGAAAGTGGCAGGGGGGGGGAAATCCCTCCTTCGATCTAACTTGGCTTAAGTTATTGTGTCTTCCTTAGCCCTTCCAGTCTTTTTTAATTTTCAGTTCAAACTCATAAAACAGCCTAACGACTGTACTAATGCAGCCATTATATTTCTCTTGGACCAATAACTGTGGTGTTGTTGTTGTTTAAAAAATTAATAGGATATCTGTGTCTCCGCAGTGTACAAAAGCTCGTCTCCCCACCCCTCACCTCAAACTACCAGCCCTTTGGGTGGCTTCTGAGAGCCTTCGGTCCATTCCATAACTCAACTAAGGAGACTCTAGGCTTTGCCGACCCACATGTTCCAGCGCAACCTGGTTGTAGAGCTGGCTGGTTGTTTGCTGGTGCTTAACCCGCCAACCCTCCACCCACCCACTTCCCAATCTCCCAGACGAGTTTGTTGGCAGGAGCAGAATGAAAAAGCAGTCATTTCTCTTCTCTCCCCCCCCCCCGCGCGCCCTGCATAATAGTCTCAAGAAATGCTATAAAGTCCTGGTTAATGTCCGAGACACATTGTTAAGTGTTTAAAATGTTACCGCTACACACAATGCACGCCAAAGTAGTTTAGTTTGCTCTAGAATTGACCATTATCTTTTATAGTTAAAAATCAAGTGCACATTATTAGTTTTACTTCACTGGCTTTGACGATGCTTTTGGCCTTGTTAGCGATTAAAGAAAAAGGCGCCGAGAGCCGAGTTCACGAGCTCCTCCTCGCGCGGTCCAAAAGCTTCCCCGAGTCAAATGCTAGCCTTCTCTTTACCATTGACCTCCCCGGGCTTTGGATCCGGCCCTGGGTGCCTTGACCATCAAAGCCCAGACGCTTTGGGTCCCACAAACGCAACCATAAAAGGGGGCCCTGGATACGAGGGGCCGCTTCCTTATTGCCTTATACTTTGAGTGAAAAGGAACCAACAGGACCCTTGATTGCAGAGGGTGTGTGTGTGTGTGTCCAGCTGCAAGCGGTTCTAACCTGAAAGAGAAGAGGTTTCAAACCATTTTCCTAGCCTCGCTCCTCTGGTTTCGACCGCCGGTTTCCCCTTCGAGTCTTCTCTTGAATCCTAAGAGCAGAAACCGAGTCTTGCTGGGATGGATCCGACCAAAGGTCCAATTGACCTCCAAAGTGGCCCACGGGATGCCCCTGGACCTCTTTGAAACGGGAAATGGTCAGTCGCCCGTGCACTTAGGAGGTGCGAATTCCCGTATCTCCAGGTTTTTCGCCTTCGCTAGAGTCACGAATCGGCTCGACCTTCACTGTAGCACTTATTTAAAGAGAGGAATGGCGGAAGGGAATTCTTTCCATTGGGATCTATAGATTCGCAATCTTTTTATTTAAACTGGGGGGTGATTATTATTTTTAAACAGACTTGTAGTATCTTTCCTTTATTCGCCAACGGACCCTTCCCCAGGTAGACGGCTGCTGTTGTTGTTGTTGTTGCATAAGTAGCAAGATTTTTCAAGGCATGCGCTTCATTTCTTTTGGATCTGGCAGATGAAGGGTGAGGGCGGGGATCAACACACCGCACAGAGGGACGAGATTCCCCCTCCTCGAAGTTTTGATCTACCTGATTTTAGCCCCACCAAGTCCTGGGAAAGGCGAAGGTGGGCCGTGCGCGCGGGTCCCATTTCATTGCGCGGAGATCTGCTGTTACAACTCTAAGCCCATTGATAATACGTTTCCAATGTGCTAGCCCATAAAAGTGCTCCTTATATGGCATTAATTTTGCTAGAAGTCATATTGCCCTCCTAGGAATCTGATAAGAACTTGTTCCTCACACATTAACACAGTGTAAGTTAAGTCGAGTTGGGGAAACACGGACAATATTACTCCAGGGTGTGGGGAAGGCGGCTCTTCTTATAGGCTGCTGACCCCCTGCCTCTGGTTGTTCTGCCTCCATGCTTAACTTGTGCTGGAAGCCAGCAGAAGTGAAAAACCCAGGGTGCAATTCTTGGCTGGTGGGAGAGGAGATGAGAGGTGAGGGTGATGGGTATGGCAGTGGTGGAAGTGGCTTAAGAAGGACGTCTTTCCATAAAGATTTTACGGGCCCGGCAAAGTTGCAACTATCTCTGCCAGGCTTCCCATCCGACAAGCCAGAAACCTCAGGAGGCCCCCTTCGCGTTCACTTGCCTAGGAGAAAACTCGCGTTCTGTGGCCTACTGCCTTCTGAATCTTTTAGAAGCTAAGCGGAGGGGAATCCCAGAAGGAAGGCAGGGAATTTCCCCACTTTTGTAGGCAAAACCAGGGCGTTATTAGGCATGCGAGGCTTGGCAGATCAATCCTACCCTACCCAGCCCTCGGTGGAAAGGGGGAAATGTGCGGAGTGGCATATGAGCATTTTGCAGGACTCGCCCTTCATTGTATGAAAGCCAAGGGTAAGCCGTGCCAGAGAGAGAGGGTATATCTGAAAGCCACCCTCTCTGCTGCACTCACTACACCGAAGGCTCGGTCAGGAAAATAAGGCAGCGCCTTTGCCTCCCGATTCCCTTGGCATTCTTAGCGCTTTTGAGGGCTTTATGGACGAGGGAGTGGGTGCCAAAACGGAACCGAGCAGAAGATTTACAGCACAATATTGAATTGTTCAAAAGAATATTCCTACTCGCTTGGGAGCAGAGACAGGCGATCATTTAAATCCTACCAGCTGGGGCGGTTTGGAAGAAGAGATACTTAACGCAGGGATTTGTAACCTAAAAAAAAAAAAAAAGTTAAACAAAGATTTGTTTTCTTTTCTTAAAAAATAATAATTCTAAAAGACTCCATGGACAATAAGAGATGTTATTTCTCTCAAGTTTTTATTATTTCCAAACAACGCGTGCCAAGAACATGAGAGACAGAGAGGCAGAGAGAGAAGTGGAGCCATTCTTTCGCTCCCCCGCCCCCCAATTAAAAAATCTATCTATCTGCCCCCGTCTGCCGGTCTCACTCTCTTGTCTGCTAGTTGTCTACCACAATTACGAACTGGCTACACAGTTTTGTCTGACAGTCCTTTTTAGCCTTTTATGGGTTGAGAATGAGGATATTTTGAGATAATTTGCTTGTGGCGCACTTTTGAATCTATAGTGGGTGTGCGATTATTATTATACTCCCCCTTGGGGAAAAAAGAAACCATTCCGAACACTAACCATTAGAATTTAATGTTCATCTGAGGATATCTCGCATCCACGTTCTGTGAGACCTTTTGCTATCCTCGTCCCTACAAGACACACCAGATATTTCTGCTTCGCATGTTAGTTTAAGACCAGATACGGAAGACTTCGATGCAATGCTTGCTTACTGGGTCAACAAAGATGGGCTCATATTGTTACTGTTGCTTCTGCGGCGCTAGACAGGAATATTTCACAGTGGCGCTCCTCAGCCTCTCTGCCAGGCGGGGGTTCACTTCTGAGCCGGTATTTCTATATGTACCCTTAGCTGAAAGTAAACCCACCCATCCCACACTGAACACAGTGGGACTTGCTTCCGCGTAAAACACGTATATGCCAATATTCAAAGATGGGAGCCAGGCTTGAGAATTTTCTTCATTAGTGTCGTTGTCATCTTGAGGAGACATTGGGTGACTTTATGATGTCCGTAAACCTTCAGTGCTAGTGAGGAGGTCAGATTGGTTTAGAACTTCCAGTGGCCCGTGATGCCATAATCACCGCCACTAAAAATAGGTAAGCAAAAGCATGTCCCAGGGCTTGACAATAAATACTGAGGTTTTAATAATTTCATCACAGCCATGGGCTGTATGAGATGGGATTGGGAGAGCAAAAGGGGGAGGGGGGAATGTTGGTGGCGAGGTGGCAGAAAGAGAGAGAGGAGTTGGGATGTTGAAAGGTTCACTTACAGCTCGCTTTACGACCTGAACGCTTAATATGCTCCTTTGCAATTTTATATTAGCGCATATGCTTAAAGAGGAAGCCTGGCTAAATTATGGGTTGCATTAAAATCGGGGCAAATTGTTTTCTATTGTTTGTCTCCCCTTTCTCCTCCGTGTGCGCGAGAGCCCACGCGCGCCTTTCCCCCTCCTTTGCTCACACGCAGGCAAAAGGCAGCCTATATGTGGCAACATCAATTGTACCCCGGGCACCTAGGCAAGGGCAGCTATGTGGCACCATCGATTACACACACACACACACACACACACACATATATAAAATTCAGCAGTGGACCTGAGAGCAGCTCATTGCCTACGAAACCAAACGGGGAGGGGTTGCTGGCGAGGGCTGGGATTCCATTGGCTGCACGCACTCGCCGTGGCGCGGGGGTATCTCTAATCATATCCAGCATGTTTTGCACAAGAAATGTCAGCCAGAAAGGGCTATCTGCTCTCTTCGCCAAATTATTCCACCACGGCCATGGCATGCTCGGAGAGCCCCGCTGCAAACTCTTTTTTGGTGGACTCCTTGATCAGCTCAGCCTCAAGCAGAGGGGAAGGCGGAGGAGGCGGAGGCGGGGGCGGCGGAGGAGTTGGAGGAGGAGGAGGCGGAGGAGGCGGCGGCGGCGGCTACTATCCCAACAACAGCGGTGTCTACCTGCCACAGGCGTCCGATCTGTCCTATGGGCTGCAAAGCTACGGGCTTTTCCCGGTCTTGAGCAAACGCAATGAAGGCCCTTCTCCAAGCGTGGCGCCGGCTTCTCACGCCTACATGTCAGGGATGGAAGTCTGGCTAGATCCCCCCAGGTCCTGCCGCCTGGAAGAGCACGAGAGCCCGCAGGCGACCTCCTGCTCCTTCGCTCCCAACATCAAAGAGGAGAGCTCCTACTGCCTCTATGACGCCGAGAAGGGCCCCAAAGAGGCGGCGGCCACCGACTTGTCCGTTTTCCCAAGGCTGAGCTCGGAGGTCTGCTCCATGAACAACGTGACAGCCACCGGGGTGCCCGTCCCAGGCTACTTCCGCTTGTCTCAAGCCTACGGTACCAGCAAGAGCAGCGGCAGCAGCAATGGCAGCAGCTACAACAAACAGCAACCACCACCATCAACATCATCACCAACAGCAGCAGCAGCAGCACCATCCGGGGCAGATGGTGGTTCCTTCCCAGTTCGCCCCGCAACCTCAAGTGCGCTTTGAAACTCCGCCAGCGTTGACTCCTGCAGTCCCACCGCCGGATCCGGGGAGGAAAGAGAGCGAGGATTCATCCCCCCCAGCACCTTGGCTTGCGTGGCCCAAAGGGGTGAGGAAGAAGGGCAAGCTTCCTCTTCGGCCCCCGAAGAACTCTCCCCGGCTCCTTCAGAGAACAGCAAGCCCTCTCCAGAGAAGGAAACGCTAGGTAAGCAATAAAATAAAATAAATAAATGCACTACTCTCTACCCGCCTAGCTCCCCCGCCCCCGCGCACGGCAGCCGGCCCCGTGGCCACAAAAACCAGGAGGGGTGGGATGCGATAAGGGGGTGAGAATCGGCCAGAATACTGGAAGCCCCCTTCGCTGGCCAAAATGGCCATTCATAGAGCGGCTGAGCGTAACCTGCTGAGCTGCCATTCATATTTGGACGCTGGGATGCTGTAAATAAATAAATATTGATATAGCCAACCCTTCGAGTTTATGAGCCATGCAAAAAGAAAGGAAAAGCTGAGTATGGGTAAAATCCTAAAGCCAAAGGGCTTGAAAAGAAACAAAATAGGAAGAAAAGGAAAAAGAGATAAATACAGCTCTGTATTTCCTCGCCTCAAGTGATGCTGAGGTGACTGCAGAGATAACATAGATGTTTGTAAAGCGTCCAAAGTAAGCAAGGGGCCAGCGCCAATAAATAAGCCCATTAACAGGCTAAGTTCTAGTTTACGATCCTGGATGCCTTTAAAAAAAAAAAAGGCAGCTGGGTTAAAATTCTCTTCTATGAAGCACTATCAAATTAGACTGCTGGAGACTGCGCTGCGAGAGGCTCTCCAGAGCGCCACAAGGCTTCTGTGTTGAAATATACGCAGGGTCATTGGAATGAATGGGAGCTGTGCAAGAATGCCAGAGTTCCTGGTCGGTGCTCAGTCATTCATTTCAACGCGAGGGGATGGCGAGTGGCTTTTGCAGAAGAATTTTCTATTTCATGATGCCATTAAAGGGAATAATAAAATAATAATAAGGAAATAAAACCGGGAACTCCGCAGGGTAAGCTTACAGTTGTCTTTTCTCCCACAATTCTGAAACAGGATGCAATGAAGCATGTTACGTGCGTGCACACATACATGCATATGCATATCGTTATCTAAATGCACACAGAGAGAGTTGGGTTTCCCGCCCCAACCCCACCTCCAGCTACATGTACTTCCAAAAAATAAAGAGAAATGCATATGTGCTTTAAAAAAAACAACGTGCATCATCAGTGTGTGCTTGTAGGAACCATCTCAGCGCTAAACTGCCCAACGGTTTAGATTTAATTTGAATTTGGAAACGCACAGCCCGTTCCTATGCTTGCTTGTTTGCTGCGCCACTGAATTGAACGGGCTTGATTCTCAGTAACGCAACATTCCTATACCTGCTTACCGGGGAGTAAGCCGCACTGAACACAGTGGGACTTACTTCTGAGCGAACATGCTCTGGAAGGGTGTGTGGAGTGGTTTAGATGGGATTGCAGCCCTCATTCGCCAGAAATATTAGGCATAACAATTCGAAAACGACCCCACCCCCAATAAAAAAACCAGCCACCCAGGGCTTCTTTTTTTTTTAATTGAGCGCTTCGGCAGCGTCGACCACATTTTCAAATAATCTGGATTTAGGGGAGGGAGCAGGGGGCGGTCTCGCAACGAGTGTTTTGAGAACAAACAGCCAGGACTGAAGCAGAGGCAAAACCCTGCAAGACGCCACTGCCAAAGGCATTTGTGCGCATCGGTGTCAACTCCAAAAGCGATCCGGTCTCTCAGGCCAGCGAGATGCGGCAAAGTCAGGGAGTGTGTTGCAATGCTCGCTCTCCTTTGGGGCTCCCAATTTAAGAGGGACCCGAACCCTGAAGGAAGGCCAGAGTGCCCTTCTCAAATTTATATTCGGTACTAAGTACGGAAGCGTCCCCCAGCCCAGCCCCGCTACGCCGCCCAAGTTTTCCTGGTGTCGTTCTGGTAACCTTCCCTTTTCCCCCCTTATTTTTTCCCCTTAAAACTAGGCAATTCCAAAGGAGAGAACGCAGCCAGTTGGCTCACCGCAAAAAGTGGCAGGAAGAAGCGATGCCCTTACACCAAGCACCAAACTCTCGAGCTGGAAAAGGAGTTTCTGTTCAACATGTACCTGACTCGTGAGCGTCGCCTAGAGATCAGCCGCACAGTCCACCTAACAGACAGACAAGTCAAAATCTGGTTTCAGAACCGCAGGATGAAACTGAAGAAAATGAACAGGGAGAATCGAATCCGGGAGCTCACAGCCAACTTCAATTTCTCCTGATGAACCCTAGGCACGCATCTTGATGGTCTGAACAGCTAGGACAGTTCCACCCCACCCCCACCCCCACGGGTCTCCTCCCCACCTCTAGCTACTCGCACCTGTGTGCGTCCGAGCCTTTCAATTACATCCTCAGCCTCTCCATGGCCTCTTGGTAATTGATTTCGTTGGGATGAAGCCATAACTGATGCACACTACCCCATCCATGTCCGCTGCTGCCCTCAGTCAATGCCCGGTCTAGAAAGTCTGACGCTGAGGGGGGGGGGAATGGTTTTCAGAACCCTAGATGCCTATTGCCCCCCCCCTTCTCAACACCCTTCTCCCAAACTCCATTTTCAGAAAATTGAGCCAAATAAGACTGGAGGCAACTTGCGTTCTCTCCCACCCCACTGTAATAGTAGCTGGTGTTTTGGATCTGAGCCGAGGATGGTTTTGAATAATTAAAATCTGGCCACGCCGCTGCTTAATAGGAAACATGCGTCTAGCCGATCCAGATAAAATCAGGTTATAGAATATGGTGTCAGGAGCCAAGGCTGGCGCACTTATATGTTTGTTTGTGCCCAATCCCCCGCGTACCCAAAAATCCATATTTAATATTACAACTTTTAAAATTGCCACGAAAATGAGACCTCTCCCCCCCTCCTCCTCCTCCCCCTCCCCCCCAAAAGGAGAGAGGAAAGTCTTTGTCTGCTTTATTGGCTAAAATCTTACACTTTCTGGTTGTAGGTAATGACTTGAGGTAGCTTTTGCTTTGGATACCTTCGGGTTACCGCTAGTTACGCTTGGCAAGCACATGAAAGGAAGGAAGGAAGAAATCTCCCCGCTTTGGAGAGGAGAAACGACTTTGTCCACGGAGAGGTGTGTTATTCTATGTATATTGGACCACCAGATGAATTTTCCCCCTGACTTGACTGTGGGGGACAGCAAGGGAGGTGAAAGTTCCCCCCCCTGGTTTCCTTGATACTGTGAAGTTACATGCGTTGAAAAGGTCAAGCGTGTAGTGCAAAGAGAAGATTTTTTTTTAAAGAAAAAAAAATATCTATGAATACAGAATATGTATAAATGTCTATTAATATTAATATTATTAATATTATTAAAATGCCGATACTGTTGCAAGCAAAGCATTCTATAGCGTTATTCTCGATGTTAGCTCTATCTCTCGTCCATCCCCTCCTTACCTTAAAACCAATGAACTGTAATGCTGCCCTGCGTGGAAGTAAAGCAAAACAAAAACAAAAACAAAAAAACACAGGACAAAATGGAGACGCTGTTTATGTTTCTCTTGGAAGAAGAATAAAAGGCATGGAATGAACCACCCTCTTAAAAAAAAAAAATACCTCGTTTGTGACTGTTTATTCTCATGGTCCTACTTTCAGATCTCCAAGAACTTTTACAACAGGAATAGTTTGCCCGAGCCCCCTGCAATTACTTTAGGAATCTATTTAAATATTACCTAGACGGTCGTAATTTGTCTGGGCCATATAGCAATGGTGCTGTAAGGTTTGTCGGCTTTTGTTCAGTTTTATGACTTGCTAGTATATCTGGATTGTTGCTGTCTTGGACGAGTGGTTTTAGTTGACTGAGGCAGTCAACACAGGCAGAGGAAGCCAAGGGCTGCCTATTTGCGAAGTTAGAGGACCTGGGCTTCTCTTTATTTATTTATTTTATTAAAATAACTCGGTGGCTAACTCACGAGGAACGATCCACTATTATTATTTTTTATTTTTTTTATTTTAAACCAAACAAAGCTACCCCACTAGACGCTCGGAGCTCTTTTCAACTCCAGAGGAAAACCTAGATGCCCCCCCACATACACAAAAAGGCGATTCTGAAAAGGTGAGCACGTGGGAACGAGGATCTTGAGCCTTGTTCTCCTTGATCGATCAGCTTTTCCGCCATGTTTTTATTCCTCCCCTCGCTACCTGCCTGCTTGCGGATGCGCTTAAGCGGAGAATGTTTTGGCATTAAGGTTCTGTATCATTGCACGTTGATCAGCTCCAGAATCCAGACAAAGGCGAATCGGGTGGGGAGGGAAGAGAGAGGGGGAGATTGGAAGGGGTGGGAGTGGAGGCGGTGGTGATGGGAGCCTGAAAGGGCTGTGTAGCCATTTCTTTTTCCAGACTTTGAACCCGCGCATCTTGATCGTCTTCGATAACCTATGTATACAAGGATTCTTGCCTCTCGAGGCCTCCCTGGCCCCGCTGGCCCCTTCTCTAAGTTGCATTTTAAAAAGGCATCATACCCTAATTCGATCCGGGGCTAAGTTAGAGAACTATGATGGAACGTGGAGAGTAAGATTAAACGGAGTGACTACGAAGTGGGCACAAAGGCGTTTCTAATGATTTGGCGGGTCCAGAAGAAGAGAAAGAACTTCATATTTTTTTTAAACACACAAGAATGTGGAAAGTTTGTAGACGGAGATGGAGACTCTGGTGGAGAGGGCGGAGGGGGACGGTGGGAAGGGTGAGGTCTTGTTGCTGTTCGGTTTTTTGGGGGGAGGGGGCTTTCCCCACCCCACCCGCTCGGAATCTGTTTCTTTTGGGCATTGGTGTCTCTCCATATTTATTCGAAGCGGGATCCTGTTTCCTAAGGAAAGCGGCAGTGGGGAGCCCTCTTAATTAGGAGGCTGAGAACTGGTCGGTGGTTTAGGTAGTTTCATGTTGTTGGGGCTGGATCTCAATCTCTCTCTACAGCACGAAACTGCCTTAATTACTTCAGTTTGAAATCATCAACCGGGTCTAATAAGAATAAGAATAAGCGCCGGAGTCCATCCGTAGCAATAGCGATACAATACTAGTAATACCGTCTTTTACCGAAGAAATCTGGCAAGCTACCTTTCCTCGGCAGGCGTTAAGTCCCAATGCCATTGGTTTGCCTTCTGCGCGCCGAAAACCCCGCGCCTTTCCAGTCGCCTCAATTAATCCATTTCAGCCAAGTTGGAAGAGGGGGGAAATGTTTCAAGGCGCTATTGGAGGAGACCTTCAAGCTTAGCTAGGATCGGTTGTCTTCGGGTTTTCTCATGCAGGTTTCCTTCAAGGTCAGGTGCACTCTGCCAGTTTAGGAATGTCCAGATTTTATTGTCTAATCCGTATCAATGGATACTTTGATTATTGTTGCTGCTGTTGCTGGTGATATTATTCGCATTATTCGCAAAAATGTCTGTTGCCCTGGTGTTTTCCTCCCTATGTATTGGGTGTGTTTCAGTTACTCCGCTGTAAAGAGAGAGAATCTGGTAGCAATTTCCATCCCTGCTTACTGGTTCTATCTCATTATATTTTATTGAGCTATATTGTGTTATGAGGTCTCGCCGCCGGCCCGTTTGCGCAAACACACACACACACACACACACACACAGCCCTTGCTCTCCCTTTCCTTACAGTGGTGGCCTTCAGAATCACTCTGTTTTCTCTCCGCTGTTTCTCCCCCCCCCACCCCGAAGCTAGAACAGTCCTTCCAATGTCTGCAGGGAATGCAGACCCTAAGGGCATAAGGGGCGGAAAGAGGGAGCCCGGGGAGGCAGGAAAACTCGGGAGGGGGGACCCCAAGGATTTCTCCGTAGCTCACAAGGCCTCGGTTACGATCATTATTGGAGTGTGTCCGGGCGCCTGCATTCCAATGAGGCGGAATAAGCAACAGCGACCTCGCTTGGGCTCGAGGCTGCGCTGTGCTGTCGCTTTGCCTTTTATGCGCAGCAGCCCAGCGAGAGGCGAAGGAGCTGCAGCGCCTTGTTTACACCGGATACACACATTGTTTACAGCTATTGTAAATGAACAAGACCTCTCCCTTCCATGTCCTGCGGTGGGTACGGGTGCGTGGGTATTGGGAAACGCACGGGAATATCCTTTATATTCTTTCCCCCCCTCCCCCACCCTTCAAGTTTCCGAATTAAAAGGGCTGGAGAAATCAGATTTGTTTAATTCTGCCTTCCACAAACACACACCGTCCCGTCAATTTTTGGGGGAGCCTTTGCCACTGTTGAATAATTTAAATGGCAAGTTCACACGATAAGTGCTTCGGGGGCATTGCTGCTTATAATATGGACATTGTGTGGTTATGTATGTGTCTGTGTTTGCACGAATGCACGTGCCTACGGCTTGGATCTAGAGGACGTACATGTTCCCACCACATGAATACAGAAAGAAGGCATTGCTGTATGCAAGCAGCTACCATGGCCAGCCTTCTGTATGAAGTCTGTGCTTCTTCTGAATCATTCTACGATTGTTTGGTCACTTATCTCAAGCAAAGCTTATTTAAAAGCTAAGAACACAACAAAACAGACAAACCCAAGAACCCGGAATTCTCCATATCAGTGCGCAATACATTACCTCCTACAGAATATTATCCAAATCCTATTAGGACTACTTTTCTTTCTTTCTTTCTTTCTTTCTTTCTTTCTTTCTTTCTTTCTTTCTTTTCTTTTCTTTTTAAAAAGAGAAATCTCTATATGTCTCTGTGTGTACACACACATATATGTGTGCATGAATGAAAGGGAGAAGGGGGTGGAATATATGGGGGGGGGAGAAACATTAGTCAATTATATTGCTTAGATATGTTTAGGAACATACTGATTACTTCAGACTCTGTGTAAAATAAGTAAATAAAGTGCGAGCACACAGTTATAACCCTTAAACGGCGTTTTTATTTTTCCTTTGATCTGTCTGGTAGGTAGATTCAAGGGTTAAAACCTAATAATGTGTGTGTGTGTGTGTGTGTGTGTGTGTGTGTAACCAGATATAGTTATTAAAACTCTGAAGCTGCGACCATATATACACACTAACTTGAAATAAATACTGTTGAGATCAGTATAACATTTTTTAACCTGGGCGAAAATTTCCAGAAATGGGCGAGACAGTGTATATGGGTTGTTTATATGTCACGGCTACCGTTCTGCACACACTTACTTGGGAGTAAGTCCCAAATTTATGTGTTCAGGGTAATGTCCAAAGACTGGTAGCCGCCTTATTCCAACCCGAAGCCTATTTCATTGGAGCTAATTAACAGTTCAAAGAAAGCAGGAATTCGGCTAATGAGGAGGCTTTCTCCATTTTCATATTATTTGTCACTAAATGGAAGTCAGCTATAGGTGCTACAAAGCCGAGCTATTAAAAAAAGATTCCTGTTTATACTGAAAATACAATATGTGCACCAAATGAAGAAAATGGCGAAGTACTTTGTATTTATCCCTTTCTATCATTTCGAAGGTGAATGTAACAAATCATCTTTAAATTCTTTAATTTTAATGGTTCAGCAGCCAGCTTTTTTAAGGGAGCTCTGAAATGTTTATTCCTTTATTGTAACGCGAGCCTTAAATTTCAAATTTCTACATGTCTACTCAAAAGCAAGTCCCACTGAGTTCAATGGCGCTTCTAGGTAACTGGGTAAAGAGACTGCAGTCTTAGACTGCAATTTTACCCAGAAGTAAGTCCCACTGAGCTTTAATGGGACTTACTCTGTAGTACGTGCCGGGGATTGCAGCTGGATCATTCCCGTTGTTTCCCACTTTCAAAGGCTTAATCCGGAATGAAAAGTCACTACCGCCTCCGAAACCCCAAAAAGTCATAAAAACATTTAGGAATCCTGCTGTTAAGATTATTTTTCTCCTTCGAGGAGGAAGGAAGTTCTGCCAGCATATTTCACAACAGCTGACTCTCGATTTTAAACAAAAATGACGTAAGACTTCCGTCTTTCCAGGAGAGAAACCGACTAATAATAATATTTTCCTCCTCTCTCCTGTTGAGGATATCGCACTAAGGCGATCACATACTTTAGCTGTAATTACATAGGAAGACATTTGTCTACATTTTTTTAAAAAAAGAAATGGCTTTGTTGAGGCATGGGAAGAGATTTCCAGCAACGCCCCTGCGAAATTGTTTCTGCTGAGGATCTGTGAAATATTAATTGTTTCTTGTAATCTCGGGACCTTATGTCAAAAAAAGAGAACTGACTGCTAATTTAAGTTTTTCTCAAGACTCAGCTATTGGAGAAGTATGAAAGGGGAAAAGAACGCTGACGTGATGTAAAGCTAATGAGAACCATACTTTTTGCGCTCACAATATTCACAGACGAATTTCATTAGCACGCGGTTTCCTTGCTATTTGCCCCGTCTCTAGCCTGACGAAGAGTTAAAAAAAATAAAATAAAAAAATAAAATACAGAGATCCTTATTCTCTTCCCCCTCCTCCCAGTAGCAGAACACAGCATTTCTTTCCAAAGAAAGAAAGAAAAAAGAAAGAGAAATAAATAGGGGGGGGGGGAGACGTTTAGGAATCCTCCGGAGAAAGACAATGAATGCAAATGTCACCGACAATCCACCATTTAGTCATAACTTTAATCCACAACACTGGACTTGATCTGAGAACCGTATCACCTTCTCCTTGTTTTTTCTAGACGGCGGTAACCCTCCGCCGCTTACAGAAGCCATATAAGAACGTGCCAGAGAGTAAATAACTATTTGCACCTCAAATCCGACGGCTCGGGAATGCGATCCGCTAGCGGGGATACTGCATAAAAATCAAGGGCAGGCGACAGACAGGATTTTTGCTCCTATTTTGCTTTCATGCATGCTTAGGAATTAATCGTCATGAAGAGTGTGTGAATGTGAGTGTGTGTGTATAGTGTGTGTGTAGTGTGTGTGTGTGTGTGTGTGTGTGTGTGTGTGTTTGTGTGTATTCCTTCCCCACCCACAGAC